CCCGAAACTCCCCGGAGAGAGGCTCTTCCGTGAACACCGGAGGAAGCGTTATTTATTCCGCTCAGCTCCCTGGGCGCTGTAACGATTCCTCATTCGCTCGGCCCCGGGCGGGGACTGCCCGTTCGGCATCAACACCCCGAAGGTGTGGCTGTCCCTGTCCCCTAGGATGGCAGCAGCCCCGCGGGGCCGCTCCTGCCTTCGCTGATAATAAAATGTCCTCCCCCCTCTACTTCGAGTCCTCCTCCTGGAAATGAAGAGCAGGCTCTGCCATCGGCACACTCGGCACCGTTTGATTTTCCTTCAAGATCACGGTTATTTTCACCAAAACCGACACTTTTTTTTTTGCAGCAGAATGCATTGTTTCGTTGCATCCAGGCACTGACTCTGCATTTTCTTTGCAAGTTACTTTTAACCCTTGTGGCAGCAAGGGCTCGTGTTCCGTCCCAAAACAATGCAACAACGTGATTCTGGTGCTGTCCTTAGATTTTGATTTTTATTTGTTTTTTTTTCTTTTCTATCTGGTGCCTCTCGAGAGGTCCCTGCTCTTCAGGAGCTGCGAATCATAAAGGCACATCAGGGTAGGAAAGTTTTACGTCAGCCAGGTGGAAGACTGAGGCGTAGATGAAGTGCACGCCGTTTCCTCTGCTTCACTGAGATAACTAAAAGTGAAACTGTTATAATCAGGTCTGAATTTTGAATAGATAATTACTTGTCATTGATAACTAATTGCTTTTAATGAACAACTTAATTGCTTTAATGAATAACTAACGCTTTGTATTAATTCCTGATTCAATTTACAGGATGGTAAGAAATACACAAAACCTCACTCATGCTCAAAGACAGCAGCTGCCTTACGAAAATGGCCAAAGCTAAAGCTGCTGCGGGGTGTGAAATTGTCCAGAACACAGAACAGGGAGGCAGGTACAGGGGGTGAAATTGTACATTCTCAGCTCGTTCTCTTATGGGATGAAACCACAGAAACAAAAGAACGTTGCTGTGAAGACTCTCCCATCCTCCCCATCCTAATTTGTATATCAGAGATTTTGATCAGTAAAATAACCAATGATTATATTAGTATAGGAATATTAATAAAGTGATTTAATTGGTGATATTAATATAGGAATATTAATAAAGTGATAATGATTGGTGGACCAATCATTGTAAATGTCAAAATTAATAGCGGGCATAACACGCACGCTTATGTTAAAATATGTTAAAGATCATGACTTTGCAGGAAAAGGATACAAAAATGTTGAATTTTAATGTAACTTTGAAGCACGTTAGGAGGAGCCATCCCCTGTGCTCCCAGCGCTGGGTTCTCTGCAACTGTGTAAGTTTGTCGTGATGACGACCCCCCGTCAACACAACTGCAGCCCTGGGTGGCCTGGAGGATTGCGCCACGTCCGTTTCTAGGGTCTGCCCTGCTTTCTGCTCCCAGCAGGAGGAATCCTCCAGGGCAGCCTGTGTCAGTGCAGCTATCACTGCTCTTTCCAGCTTGGATACCTTGTCCTTTCCGAGCGCAGCCCTTCAATCTCCATCTAAACTTCTGCCTGACTTCCAGGCTGTTCTTTGGCACGGAATGCAGACAATCTCCTGGCTGATGCCAAAAAAAAAATACCAGAGCAGAGTTGCAAGGAGTCCATTTCCCTGTGAAACTTCTGGATTGGAAATGACCTGAAATGCTCCAGTGGGATGATTGTTGATGATGAACTTTCCCTCTGTTCTGAGGTCAGTCCTTACTCGCTGCTGCTGTCACTAAGATCAGCTGAGAAGGTTCTGCTTTGGATTCCTGGAATTGAATCATCCGGGATTGGCGGCAGAGTTTTCGCAGCAGCGAGCTGCCCCTTGACAGGTTGCCAGGGCTGGGGCCTGGCTGCCTGCAAGACGTAGTGGCAAAGAGGGTGATTTAGTGCTCTGTTTCCAGCCCTGCGTAGGCTCCTGGCAGTTTGGATACTGTTTTGATCGATGCACCCGCTACAGATTTATGTTGTGTGATTTGTGGTGTCCCCACGCAGTGCACAGATAACTCCTGCAAAAGCTTCAGTGCTATTTGTTGACCCTGCTGTCATGCAACATATTCATTTCGATACTGAGAATTATCTGGCAGTTTCAGCACAGCAGTCATGAGCAGCAAGGCTATAATAGCCTCATGACACAGGCTTGTGAGACAGAACGACGACAACCTGCCTAACTGAGACCTCCTCCGTTTGTGCTCTTCCGTGGGAGCTGAGCTTAGCAAGGTACCTCTCTTGGAGCCAGGAAGCTGAGGATGAGAGCCACTGTATTTGGAGGTCAAGTTGTTGCATTGGATTTGAATTTCAGAAGCCGGGGAAGCTGTTGAGTTTGGTTATCACCAGGATGAGTGTGTCTTGTGTGTCTCGTCACGGTCAGCCTGAGAAGGTGGAGTGTGTTAGGGCTGGGACTGCACGAGTCTGGAGCTCCTGGCCTAATAGATCGTCAGCTGCTGGTTTTGTCTTGTACTGCTGTTGGAGCGTTGCAGTGATGCAGCGAAACCTCTGTTCTTCTCAAGCGATGTGCGAGGCTCCAGATTTCAGAAGACCTGAGGCTCCCCCACGTTAGCTGCCTACGGCAGGCCTGTGCCTGGAGTGTCACAGCACATTACAACCATGATTTGAGGCTGCCTGTGGGGACAGCCAGCGTTCCAGCAGGGTCTTCAAGCCTGAGATCCCACCAGCAGGCTACGAGGCACCACTGCCTCTCCCATGTAGCCAATCTGTAGGATCAGTGGGTCTGGTTCACGGGGTGCCACGCAGGAGAGAGGCTGCTGTGCCGCGCCGGGCGGCCCAGAGCACCAGGCTCCGTGGCTGGGAAGCAGCAGTCAGCAGAAGGAGCCTTACACGTGGCTGCTAAAGAGGGTCTGCAGGCGGCCGTGGATGTCAGGAGGAGCCTGGCCCCAGCAGCAGGGACTCCAGTGCGCTCGGGTGCCTGGCTGAGAAACCTTGGTCTGTGCGTGGGGGGTTTGGAGCTCGCAGCTGTGTCGTTCCCAAGCCGTTCCTCGTCGTACCCTTCACGGGCACAACTGTGTTGGCAGCATCTGAAGATGAGATAATCCCCTTATTCTTTCCTCTTGTAGACTTCCACGATGGATGAGACCTCTGACGAGCCTCCCACGTCTGCGGTCCTCTTAGACAACTGCCACTTCTCCCAGGTCGTCTTTAACAACGTGGAGAAGTTTTATGTTCCTGGAGGAGACGTAACCTGTTACTATACCCTCACACAGAACATTGTTCCTCGCAGGAAGGACTGGGTGGGCATCTTCCGGGTAAGTGAATGCTGTGAAACCAGATGTGCCAAGTATGAGAAAGCAGCAGGAGGGAAAAACAATGAGCTTGGGCTTTGATAGAAGAGGGTTGGGGATTTTTTTTTCAGTAATAGTCTTGTGTAATGGAGCATCTTTAGTGTGACATAGGACAAAGTGCCAGACCTGTTGTGACCTAAACAGCTTTGAGACTAATCAAACACTCGGATTATCCTTTCACGCCTAGACCACAGCTCTTAGAAGTCAGGACATCAATGCAAAAGTCCTCCCAGTAACTGATCTGCCTGGACATAGAGTCCCAGAACCACAGGATGAGCATGAACTGTGTGATGCCATAGAACAATTTTGATGTTGCAGGTGGGATGGAAAACAATCCGGGAATATTACACATTCCTGTGGGCTCCTCTGCCCGGTGGCGTCAACAGTGAGACCGCTGTGCAGCAACAGATCCAGTTCAAAGGTGAGTGGGGAGCTCGCGTCGCTCAGGGAATGTGAACAGACTCCTGCTTTGCTGTCATAGCTTTCCGAATTACAGAGTATCTGTAGGACCATGTTTTGGGAGACTTATTTCAAATCCTGTAATAAATCACAAAATTTTGAATCTGCTAAATTCTGCTGTTCTGACTGAGTGATATTGTAATCACTGGCACGAGGAGTTACTGATGGTGCAGGAACCATACTGAACGAGCATGGCTCCGTTTTTCTGAGGTTCTTTCTGTGCTATCTAGTTAAGAGACTTGAATAAGTAGAAGCTGTGTATGACGGGGTTGTTGTGTTTGTCTGAAGCTTACTACCTACCGAAAGATGACGAATACTACCAGTTCTGCTACGTTGACCAGGACAGCGTGGTCCGGGGAGCCAGTGTGCCTTTCCAGTTCAGACCAGAGACTGAGGATGATATCCTGGTGGTTACCACACAGGTATGTGTCCTCTCTTCCCCGGCTTTTTACTGCCTCTGCTTTTATTGGCATACGCTCACTGCTACTCGGGGAGCGATCCAGTAAATCGTATGCCAAGCGAGAACTCAGCAGACTTGGATTCTATTCCTGGCTTCGCTCCTGATGTGTCACACAACTTTGGGCAGCCTTTGTTTCTCTACCTGCCATTTATCACTTAGATCGTGAGCTCTTTGTAACGGGGAGCGACTTCATACGTAGCATTTCAGGGCATTTTGAATATTTTTTAATGAAAATGTCATTTTCATGGAAACAGCCTGCTATTAGATGGGAGTAAGGGCCTACACACCAACAATAACTGAGGTGCTGTGAAGCCAAGCGCTCTTTATTTTGCAGTGGCTGGTGTGCAGCCCTTTTGTTAATGACTACACTGCACATGTGGTCTACAAACTGCAAAAAGCCCCAAAGCTCAGCCTCTGCTGGCTTCTGCAGGCACAGAGGGCATTGAGCATCTCCAAAGATCGGGGTAGTGGGTGCTCAGTGTTCAAGAATTGGGTCCATGGTCAGCTTTGGACTGCCTGGAGAGAGTGAAGTAGCAGCCTGGTCTATGCCAGTCATGAAAGCACAGGGAGGTACGGTGTTCCCTTTTGCAGAGCTCATCTTTCTTTGCCCTTCACACGGTGCTATTGGGAATGTAGCTTTTCAGTGCTTCTGTTACAACCGAACAACTTTGTGGCTTGCCAGGGAGAGGTGGAAGAGATTGAACTGCAGAACAAAAATTTGCATAAAGAAAATGAGGAGCTGAAAGCAAGCTGTGCAAGTCTCCAGAAACAAAACAGTGACCTGCAGGAAGAGCTCAAGAAGACACAGGTAAGCAAAAAGTTAATATATTAAGTCAAAAGCTTTAAGTCAGAAAGATGAAGAGAGATGAGTCAGGTCTTGTTCCACTGTATGCTTCCAGGAGAAAAATTAAAGAGGTTTCTGCCCCTATTATGTGTTTAATCCTTTATCAAATCGTACAACACCTCTACTGTAATAAGAACAATAATGATGAACAAGAGACATCTTCAGACACAGGAGTCAGGAACGTATGGGAAGGGGAGTGTTCAAAATTGTTTTGTAGGCTGTCCTGGAATCCCATCATCATTGTCTTTTCCTCCTTCAGTTTTGGTCAGGCTTTAATAGAAATGAAACGGGGTCTGACGGGGTAGTTGGGATGCAAAGGAGAGATTTTCCTCCTTCAAATGGGCTGCCTGGCAGTGTGGCATTTGAGAGATTTTGCAGTTCCAGTGCAGAGCAGGACTTTTGCTTGGGTCCCATTTACCTCCTGCTGACCTCACTGTGGTTTTCATGAGCTGCAGAATAGTTCAGAGTCACTAAGGAGCAACACAGAGAAACTGGAGCTGGAGCTGAATTCCCTGAAAAAGGAGAATAAACACCTAAAGGAGCTGGGTGACCGCAGAGAGGCAGAACTGCACCAGTAAGTCTATTTACAGCATATCTGAAAATAGGATTTCATGTAAGCCCCTGGCCTTTATGGATTAAATTTCCATCCGTGAAAGTGTGGTGTGTTTTGATTTGTTCTGAGTAGACTTGAAGAGCAGATTCAGAATGTGACCTCTGAGAAGGAACACCTGGAAACCAGACTGAAAACAGCCCTGGATCACATGGACCAGCTGCAGGTAGCAAACATACAGCTGCCCTCCTTGGCTTTTATGGACTGTCTCTGATGGAATCGGTTTCTCTCTGACAGAGAACTGAGCGATCTTGAGCAAGTGTGTGGTGTATGAGTTTCTTTTTTGATTACGTGGGTTCTTTAGGAAAATGTCAACCTTTGATATGATTCGACCTCCAGGAAACCTCAAGCAAGCTGTACTCTGGAAGGAAAGATGGGGAGGGATGGGGGGATGTGCTAAGAGATACCATAAGGATTTTATTTCCTAAAAACATCCCCTCTGCATGCTCAGTAAGTTGACCAAAATCAGACTGTTGTTTGCCTCCTGCTAGCTAAGGACCCAGGCAGAAAACACTTCAGTTCTGAAAAACATTCTAAAATTATCTTCAATACTTTGGTGAAAACAAGAAATGTGAGAAATGCTGGAATACTGGGTGAAAACAGCTGGGAGGTATGTGAAGGGAGAAGGTAGACTGAAAATAGCTTGGGGGTTAGGTGTGGGACAGGGGAGAGCCAGAACGACGGGCTGTCTGGCTATGGAGTCTCCGTTTTTCTCTTTGTTCTCTGACTTCCCAGACTAGAATGGTCGCATTGAACCTTAGAGAGCTCTTCAGAGAACACACGAGTGACTAGTGTGTTCTGATGAATACAGCAGCTCCAGTATGGCCCAGTGTAACTCTTCTCAGTTTCTACAAAGGTTTCAATGGCAAAATGTTTGCAGAGAAAAAATTGAAGCAGCTACAGGTCCTGGAGCTTTGCCTTCTGCAGCGAAAGGTGCCTGTGCTCCTCACTCCGAGCTGTTCAGTTTTCACTTTTTGCCCACTCTTCTTCCTCCCTAGTGTCAAGTGTTGAATTATGAGAAAGAAGTGGAAAACCTGTCTCAGGTGGACCGTGACAAAACCAAGCAGCTTGAAAGTTTAAAGGAAAAGAATCGCCAGTTATGCATGACCAGAACTCAACAACAGGTAAAGCCTTCCCTGAGTATCACGGTGCCCAGGGGAGCCAGGGCAGAGAGGCTGAGGCATCCTTGGCAGTGAGCAGGTAAAAATATTGCTCAGTCTTTGGAGAATCTAAGGGATTCCATGAGAGAAAGAGAAATGTCGATGGTGGTGTGGATGTCCACACAGGTAGTTCTGTGAACACACCATCTGCCAGATTCTTATATTATACATATAGTCTTGTAGAATACACGTAGGGTTTTGTTTTGGAAGAAATGTCTGTCTAACTAGACGTTGTTATTCTGATTCTCTGTAGCAGGAAAATTCAGTCTCTGTCTTGATCTCTTTTGAGTCAGCTCAAGGGATAAAGAAAACCCGTGGGAATTCAGGATTGATATTTGGCTGATTGCAAATTGTTGCATCGAAGCAAAATTGTTTCAGGACTGGGACTTATGGGTAAATAAAACAAGTGACCCTAAATCTGCCCAGATTGTATGCTGTTAATTTTACTTCCAACAGGAAGCTGACTAGTTGCTGCGAGGCAGCAACCTTGCTGGTCTTCTCACCATTGATGCTTTTGTCTCTTTCTTATCTTTAATATCTCAAATTTAGCATTTAATAATCAATAAAAATAGATGCAATATGCTCAGAATAAAATAAGATGTAAACAATACAATACAAAGTTTCTGTTCTGTAGTTTGGTGCTCTGCCCCACATCCCTCCCCAACTCCTCTTTGCAACTCTGCTTGTGAAAATCTGGGGTTTCTGCAGAGAAGGAGCAAAATAAGGAGCCTGAAAAATGGAAAATTTGAAGGGGTCGGAGGCCAAGCTCTCACTTTGTCTGTCCCACTGTCTGCAGAACGAGCAGGTGCCCAGTGTTTGTGGGAGTGCAGCTGGGGAGATAGTCCCAAAAGCACTGAGCACAGAGCTCTGCTGTGTTGTACCTGCTGGTGCCTGTGCAGGGGAGCTGAGATTCACTGGCAGCGCTGTTTTCCACCTTCTTTTGATTTGCAGAACCATCACAGTTTCCCTGTGATGTTGCAGATGACTGTATGTATAACAAGTTCATGGACAAAAGGCTTGCTTTTCTTAGGTAACTTGTGCAGACCTTTTAGAAGTAATCCACAAACCTCAGCATTGGAAATCACTCCTTGAAGGAAGGTGAAGGATATAGAAGGGTGGCATGCTGCGGCATTTCTTTCTACTGGAGAAGCCATCATTGGCAATGACGGAGGCCATCACATCATCATCTTTAGCCTATTGCCCTGAGTGACCTTCTAAAGGTGCTTTGCTCTCTGTGTGTGCCACAGAGGGAGCTTTTGGAGGCTCTACCCTCACTTTGGCCTTGAAAATTAGATGCCTAAAATAGACGATGTGATTACCTCTGCTGTGATGCCAAATGTTCAGGATTCTTAGAGTGATACTTTAGGAATGACTGCAGAATCCCTAAGTACTCGAGCTTATCTCATTTACTGATTTAATTCAAGAGTCTGCTGCAAGATTAATTCCTAAGGATGTACTGGCTATCCACCGTCGATGCAAGTCTCACAGCACCAGGAAACCTTGTAGACTTGGATAGCTCTCGCCTGCCAGGGTAGATTTTTCAGCTGTATAAGTTCCTTTTCTTCAGCCTCCCTCTTTGTTTGACCTGTCATATGTCCCCTTTGGAGGTCACGTGTCATCTCACATGCTGTAATGAAAACGCAGAGCATGAGTGGTGACATGGATCCTAGGTGACAAACGATGAAATGGTAAGAATCCCATTGAAAGCGAAGGGTTGTTTGTTGGTAATAAATGCAGCATGAGGCAGCTAGTATATGATAGCTCCAGTGCTTGGAGCTGTCATCTTTTTATTTGCCAGTGTCCCATAATTTACCAAATAACACTCTTCCTTCCTAGCAACAAAACCACGACTTAATGAACGAACTTGAGGAGCAGAAGCGTTTGTTTCAGATTCTGCAGGCAAGAAAGAATGAAGCTGATGAGGAAAATCAGGTGAGAACTTGGCACAGCTCCGTTGCCTGTCTCCTGTATTGAATATGACACTAATCTCTCAGTCTAGTGCTCAGTTCGGTGAACCCTTCTACCAAACGGATCACCACGTGCCTGCATGTGGACCGTCACCTAAAGCCAGGCTGTCTGCAGGCACGTACAAATAACTGTGTGCCTGTCGGTACTGCCACATCTGTACAGAGGAAGGGTCCAAAAACTTGCACCTTTTCCCCCAACCACAGAATAGACTGGTTTACCCGTAATACCGCGGGGGATTTTCAGAAATTCCTAATGTTAGCTTAATTCTGACACCACTGAAATGAATGGACTTACTTCTTTAAATGGACATTGCCTTTTTGTCCAGACTAAACAGTGGCTGCTCAGTTTTGTTCCTTATTCTGCGTGACTTCAGGATAATCTTGTGTCTTTTAAAGTCTGTTACTCTATTGTGATCATCTTGTCTGCCTTTCCGAGCAGGCCACTGAATAGGTCCTTGCCTTTCCTTGCCTCACTTTCCTCTTTGGTCAAGCAGGACCAACGCTGAGCTACCTAAAAGAGCAACGTTGATTCTGATAGAAGAGGATCTATGTTAGTGCAAAGTATGACTTTTCTCTGAAATGGTCTCCTGAGCTTCTGGAAATTCATTCTGCCCTTCTGTCCCTTTGCAGAAACTAAGGGACAAGAATGATGGACTCCTGAGGCAGCTCTCGCAGGCTAGAGAGTTTTCTTCCTTCTCTATTGCTTCGGAAGCTCAAGCTCCAATTCCAGTTCCTGAAGCAGGAGGCCTTCTGTTTGGAAATCCATATTGTGGTGAGATTACTTGGCATTCTGTCTGAAACCGCAAATACATGGCAGTTAAAGTCTCGAAAGAATTATCCTCCCTCTCCAATTGAATGCTGTAGAAAAGACATTATTAGCAGCACCTCTGTGGGGCCTTGCATGTGTGCAGATGACTTGGCAGCTGCAAAATGCTGCCAGGTGTTAAGAGTTCACTTCAGTGATCAGCTGTCTGTTCCTTTTCTGCCAAGAGAGACAACCATTAGCTAGTTTATTCAGCTGGGAGACAGCTAGTTCTGTGGCTTATGTCCAGTTTCCACAGTCCTAAATATAGAGGTTTAGATCCAGAGCCACATCCTCATGTTTCAAGAATTACTAGTTATCAGCACATTACGTTGTTAATCATTTTGCTGTGGCTAAACTGACGACTTCTTTTTCCAGCTGCAGGAGGAAACCTGGGGGCAGAAGCTGCAGACACAGTAAGTAAAGCGGACATGACTGGGCATGAATTAGTGGTTTGAAATAAAAAGCTCCAAGTTCAGCTCTGTGGCCAATTGTCGACTTACTGGTTTAGTCTTGGTAAGACAGCGGACAACAAAATGGAGCTGCACATGTTTAATGCGTAGAATTAATGAGAGTTCTGTGTCTTAAGGAAGAGAAAGGAAACTCTGTTGACCTTAATCTTTGAGGACCAGCTCTTGGCAGCATCTAATGTCAGAATGAGCAGCACGCAGCTGCTAAATACTTTATTTCATATTGGAGACATGGATATGTGCTGTGTAGGATGGAAAGTTAAGAGTACCTTGCAGAAGCTCTTTACTTTTAAGTGCTATTTAGAGAAGGCTGGAGACATTTGAAAACTTGAGAGTGTTAGAATTCAAAGACTTGTCCAAAAGTGGTAATATCTGGCTTTTACGTTTCTTCTCTTTGAATATAATCTTGAAACTGACTTTATTTGTATTATTTGCTTTGTGCTTCAGGCTTCTATAAGGAAATGCCCCATGTGTAACGAGGTATTTCCCGAAGACATTGAAACAAGGCAGTACGAGGCCCATGTGCAGAGCCATCTTCTGGAGTGCCCACTCTGCAGCGAGGCCTTTGAAAAGTCCAATAAGCAAGTGTTTGATGACCATATGTTTTGTCATGGCCTGGAATAATTTGGAGTTCATAACTACTCTGTAGAATAGGTGCCAGAGGCTGCAGTATAGAATAGACCAAATCACTGCCTAGGCTGAATTCCTGCTGAGATCACCCAGTCAAGACTGAGTATGCCACCAGTACCGTAATTCCGAGCTTTCTGTTCCATGCAGCATATGACCAGCCCATAAATCAGGTCAGACATCTCCATCCTGAAACTGAATCACCGCCATCAGACTTAAGTTTGGATCTGGTTTGGATCAAGTATATATGCTTCTTAAATGGGTTACAAATCCTATCATTAGTAATTTAATTGAACGTGGTACCAGTTCTTTAGAACAGGATTGGCCATGTAGCTGTTCATTCAGGTAGGGATGTTGTACAGGAGTTTTCTATACTTGGCTGATACATCTCTATTCTAATGGTATTAGTCTTTAATACAGCACTGTGACTGCTAACCAAAGACCAGAAGCATTGTGTAATCTTTTAGGATCACACCTTCAGTCCTGCTCGGATTCTGGAATGCAGAATTAATTATTACTAAGTTAAAAAGTCTAAATGAAAATACATCTCTTCTGTCACCATCAGTTGTAAATCAAGTGAAAGATAAATATTTATAAAGAGATTGAATATCTGTTTGGAGATCTGAAGGTCAAGGGTGTTCTTCCAGCAAAGCAGGCAGCATGGCTTATTCTGTGAGGCACATGCACTGTTCTCTCCGTCTCAGGATGAGGAAAACCTGAAATTTCTGAAATGGGAAGGTCAGTATGGCATGGACCTCACAGGAAAGCAGTAGAGAGGATAAATAGCCTCTCAGTCAGAAACAGGGCATCGTCGTTTAAAGGAAATTATGAATTTGGATTATTTCTCTTTTATGTTTCTAAACCTTCTCGATTTAACAAGAAGAGCCTGTTCTCAAACCAAAACATTGCAATTCAGAACTAAGTGCCTTGGGGTATTACAATGCTTTGTGCACAGATTATCCAGTTGCTGGTTTTATTTCTGCTTCAGGATTTTCAGTTTATGATTAAGAGCACTTTTCTCTGTGAAGACACAAATGGGTAAAGGCTTATTATCCAGCTGTATTAGACAAAGTATCTGAAGCAATAGAAAACCTTAAGAAGTTTACGTAGGGTTTTAAGAATATTTAGATTCTTAAAGACAAAACTTCAAAATGTTTTACTGTTTTGATTCTACACAAACTTTGTATCAATCTAGGTTTAAACAGAGTATTTCTGTCTTGAGATGTACTATACTGGTATTTTAAAAAATCTGTAAAAGAAAATAACAGCAAACAAAAATAAAAGCTATATGGAGAAAAGCTTTGAAAAAGATGTCTATGCCTGTTCATTCTTTCAGAAATAAGTTGGAGGAACTGGTGGGGTCTTAAGGGAGCTATTTGCAGACTTTCAATTACTTGCTGAAGGTTCTGTCTAATGAAGTACTCGAGCACCTCTCTGAATAACTTTTAGCATGCAACCTGGTATCCCTCTGGATAGTGGGACTGGTTCTGTTTAACAGAAAGCATGTATTTAACTGGTTGATACTCAGTGGCTCCTCTGGGAAATATTCCCTCATGGAAACAGATCATGCAGGCCAAAGGCTAGTATGGGATAAGAAGAACGAATCAGGAAAGTAAAATGAGCTGTACGGGATCTATTTGTTTATATCTGTTCCCAGTAGTGCCCATCTGGAAGCCTAGAGCTGCCTGAATTTCTGCCGTGTCACCAGAACGTCCAGTGTATCAACCCCTTTTTTTCCCTTGTGTCACGGTTTGAGGCTGGGCCGGC